TGGTTGCCTAATTTTGGTTGGTGTCTGTTTCTAAGGGGCTAGTGCTCCTCTTTGGGGGTGTGTTTTCGTTTGGTTCTTCATATTTCTGGAGTTCCTTCGCTGATTTCTTCCCATGTCAATCAGTTGTTGCTTCTTTCCTTTAGGTTTTCATTTGGGTATTCACATGCCTTGTTTAGTTTCTGATCCAGTAGGTGGTGTCTGTGGGTGAGATTCGATCACTCCCTAGGATAAGTCTCAAGACATATAATTACTAGATTCAAGAGCGTGGGCATTTTATATATCTTATCATTTTATTTTCCAAAAGTGTTCTTCTCATACTGTATACTAGATGACTCTATAATCTATGAACACGTGAATATCATCACAAGACTGTACATTCTAATTCATTTGTGCACACTGAAAATATAAAGAGTAGGTTTTCTTATTCTGTAACAGTATGGGACTATGTATATACCACATTTACCTAATGCTCTAAAATAGGAAAACAAAGAATATTAAATAATAATGTGGTGTGAAAGATGCTAAATTAACCTCACTTTAGTTTTAACCATATCCATCTGTTTTTTTGGTGCTGTTACCATCTCAGGACAGCTGAGCCATTTTTTATTTTATCTTTTCCCCTACTAAAAACATGCTATTGAGAAAGTGTAAGCACTATTGAAACCACTCTGGAACAGCTCCCGTACATATAGAACCGAGCCATTTGTCAAACAACTCAAGGAAATTTTTGTTTGTAATATATAATGAGGCCACAAAGGTGGAGGTTTAGTGTGTGGACAAAAACAAATTCAAATCATATTTGCTTCTGAAAATATTTATGTTGCTACCATGCATTGGTTTCAAGGACTAACATGTATTGTACAAAATGCCAGGGGCTGTATATAGACATGAAAAGACTTTCTGATAATATGAATTGTAAATGTCCTAACATTGGTGTGCTGAAAAGAAAGTACAAGCAGTTCCAAGGTTATGCTAGAAATGTGTATAAGGTGTCTGTTTATAAAAGTGGCTAGGCCACTTACATAGCGTTAAATGTTGATGCTGAATAAATTTAAGTGAGTGAAAAAGAAAGAAGAGAGAGAGAAAGAAAGAGCAAATATCAAATATTTGATATTGTAAAGCTTTAAAGCAGCTTAGAATATTCAGAATGCAAAAAATGCAATACATGGAACTGATATTTTGGAATGCTTACTATATTCAGGCACTGTTTCCTAATTAATATATTTAGATTATTTTAATCTTTATACCAACATTTAAAATACATATTCACATCACAGTTTGGGGATTGAGGTATACTAAGATTCAGGTATTTTAAGTAACCATTCCTGGTATCAGAGAGTTCATAAAAATCATCAGAACATGAAGATAGGTTGATATGAGCCCATGTCTGAGGCTATGTACAGCCAGCCCTGACTCTTTTCCAGTTACCTACAGAACTTTCATATTCACTTTATTAGGTTTCTGCCTAGGTGTAACATCATGCAAGTGGTCTGCCTAACTTCACCCAAAATAGACAGACTCCTCCTGCAATTGGTCACTTTCATCTATTTGCCTTTATTTTGTTATTATCTATCCCTTCCACAAGAGAAAGTAACTCCCGCAAAGGGAAGGTCAGTGCTTGACTTGCAGTAAGTACTCTAATATATATAGACATGCACACACACATATTTCTCCTGAGTTTCTGTATATAGGAATGAATATTCTCTCAAGAGCAAATATAGCCAAATCTCCCATTAAGGCCATCAACAAATGATACTAATGCTTGCCAGTTATTATCACTTTAGAGTTATAAACAACTAGAAATCAGAAAATTGAGACATCTATATCTACATACATAACTATATGTATCTCTATATATAACTATCACAATTGTATAATTATGTCAGTTCACCAAAACTTATCTTCATTTTGAGTTTACAACAGAAGCTTGTTGGGGCTAGATTGTTTTGTTTGTTTTGCTTTATTTTGTTTCTTTTCTCTAGCATGAAAAATTATCTTGGACTGTCTAATAAAGCATCCTGGATGAAAGAGAATTGAGATGTCTTTATATTAAAGAAATCTGTTTACTTTAGTAATAAAAATATGAAACTCAAATGAATTAAATCAAACAAGTCACTATTAATGACAATAAATTAAATAAATCTCAAGTAGAATCATTTATGTGGTAAAACAAAAAGCAGCAATTTATGAGTATTAATGACAATTATTGTCATTTGAGATTTATTAGAGAACTGACTAATTTACCTTAAAATTGTATAGACTAGAAGAATTCTCTTACTCCCACTAAACCTAGTAAACAAATTAACTTCAGTGCTCATCACGATCATCTGAGGAGGTTATAAAAGACAGAATGGGCTGGGTGTGGTGGTTCATCCCTGTAATCCTAGCACTCTGGGAGGCCAAGCCAGGAGGATCGCTTGAGCTCAGGAGTTCAAGTCCAGCCTGAGGCAGAGCGAGATCCCAGTCTTCACTAAAAATAGAAAAATTAGCTGGGTATGGTGGCACATGCCTATAGTTCCAGCTACTCCAAAGGCTGAGGCAGAAGTATCATTTGAGCCCAGGAGTTTGAGGTTGCAGTGAGCTATGATGACACCACTGCACTCTAGCCCAGGCAACAAAAGGAGACTGTGTCTCAAAAAATAAAAAAATAAAAATAAGAAGACAGAATGCTGGCCCTCAATTCCAGCACTTCTAGTTCACATGGTCTCCATGAGACCCAGAAATTTTCATTTCTACCAAGTTTCCAGGTGATCCTGATGTTGTTATTCCTGGTACCATACTTTGAGAAGCACTGATTTAGAACAGTCTTTATTTAATGAGGTGGCAGGCTGATCCAGGGGCTCCAGCACTTGACTTCTTTTGAAAGCATGTTATCCCTGAAGTTGATGAGGCAATTAAATAATTGAATCATGTATTTAGTTGTTCAGAGGAGTCATTCTTATAAACAAGCCTTTTTATGTAACGATACCTATAGAGGGAGGAATGGACATTGTCATGTAAGCATGTCAATCTCTGATTGTTATATTTATTTGTGTAAGTTTAATTGATTACCTTTCCATTAAAAACTTTTGGGAGAGAGAGAGAGAGAGAGGAAAACAAAAGGAAAAGGAAAAGGAAAACAAAATTCAAAAATTTAAAAACATTCTCAACCCTCAACATAAAGATCTGATTTTGAGCTAGCATGAATTCATGCAAATTAATGCAAATTCAGAGGCATTGGTCTGGTGACATTCTATGTCTAGACTTTGATATCTGTAATTTCTTTCAAAGCTAGTCATTTTGAAGTTTGTTTTAAGATAATTCTATAACAGCATGTGTAAATCCTATCTTTATAAAGAAAGATATTAATGTTTTGGCTTTAAATTTAAGAAAAGTAAATTTAGTCTTTAAGATCAATTTTCTTTTTTCATTAAACCCAGATTTATTAAGGTACAGTTGACAAAAATTGTATATATTTGTAGTGTAAAACATTATATTTTGATATATATACATTGTGAAGTTATTAGATCAAGCTAATTAACATATCTATCACCTCAGATACTTTTCATATTTTGTGGTGAAACATTTAAAATCTATTCTTATAGAAAATTTTAACCATACAATACATTGCTATTATAATAATCATAGTTACCATTGCTGTATAATAGATTTTAAGAACTTATTCATTCTAACTGAAACTTTGCACCCTTTGACAAAAACTTCTTCATTCCCTGTTGGCCATTTGTATGTCTTTTTTTAAAGAAATATTTATTCAGGTCCTTTGCCTGTTTTCTTTTTTTGTTTGTTTGTTTGTTTGTTGAGTTAGTTATTTCCTCACTATTTCATTTGTCTGAGTTCCTTATATATTTTGTATATTAACCTCTTGTTGGTAAATATTTTCTTCCATTCTGTAGGTTGTCTCTTTACTCTGTTGTTTCCTTTGCTATGCAGGAGCTTTTTATTTTGATGCAATCCCTAGAAGCAATTTTCTCTCAGTAGTACTCAATTTGAAAAACTCAGTGCTCCCTAACAGAAGCCCAGAGGAATAAATTGTTACCATCATATTAAATCAGTCTGTGCTTTAGTGACAGGTTAACACCAGTTCTCTCATGGTACATGTTAAAATGGTAAAGTCAATATTTAGTACATATGGGAAGAATATTAGGGAAAAATGAAGAATTAAACTTTGTTTTAGCCAGAGGAGTTGGAAGCCTAGGGAACAATTTTGTTTTTGCTGCTAATTAAATTTGGATAGAGGGACATTCAGCCAAAAGGACTATCTTGCTTATATCCTGAACATTATAGCATACACACACATACATATTTTAAAATACTTACATATGTTTATTACTTGTCTCAAGTGGTGAAAATCTAGTGAAGGAGAGAAAGAAAAATGAATCATCCCAACATTTTTCTGTTATTGTGGCCAAATCAAATGCAAACAAATGATTTAATGTCAAACCCTTCAGCAAAAAAAAAAAAAAATCTATCAGAAAATAAACTGTGAGATAAAGATTTTAATTACTAGAAGAAGAAGTGTATTTATTTTTATGGAAAATGTATATTAAAAGAAAGGAATTCAGTAAATATCTCACAGTTGTATACTTGTATTCAAAGTGGCTATTTCAGTAAAAATAATCATTACTATTTATGGAGTGCTTACAGCAGGTTTTGTTATAAATTCTGTACATGTATGATGCTATTTAATGCTATCAACAACCTGACAAAATTGGTAATAATACTAATCCCTTTCAAAGTGAGGAAAGGGAGGCATTCAAGTTCTTACCTTAGATCCTACATACAGTAAGAATTTGCATTGGGGTTCTAAATTAAGCAGTCTGGCTCTCAGTTACCTATATTCTTAACCATAATGATAAGCTGTCTAAATTATAAAAGTTATTTGGATATTTAAATGAAAGAGAGACAACACAATTTACAGTGCATGCTTCTTTCTATTTTTTTGCTGTTTTTTGTTTTGTTTTGTTTTGCTGTTTCATTTATTTTGTTTCATTCCTTATCAGACAAAGAAAAATGGAAGCTCTTTGAAAGGAATAATTTAGCAAGCATCATGAAGGTAAACTATCATCTCATTTGTTTGGGACAATTCTATTCCTTATTCCTTAATAAGTTTAAGTCCTATCTATTCTTTAAGCTGATTTGAGATAACTAATCTCTAAGTTAGTTATCTAAAGATAAATAATCTCTAACTAAATGGAGAAATGTTTTTTTGGCTCTATGTAATTTAATATTTTCATTTTGTAGAAAGATTTGTGGGCACAGTACTAAGCGTAAACAATTCTCTGTGTTTAGTGTAAACACAATTCTCTGTTAAGATTTTCTCAGGGTCTGGGTAATAAATGATGACAGATCAATAGTTTAAAGTGGCCTAAGACACTAAAAAATGTATTGTTTAAATGCTAGACATCATTGCCCATATATAAGTAAGAGAAATATAAATACATAAATAAAATGATGGAAAAGAAATACAGAATATACAAGGTCACAGAAAATAAGAAATATATTCCATTTGGGCGGGGGTACTGGAAGGGATTTTGAGTTTAGTGATTTTAAATCTCTTTTTTAAGCCTAAGAATATATGTGAAATATATCATGAACATTTAAAAGATGTTTGATATGTTGAGGTAGGTAACCTACAGTATTACCCTCAGCAAGCCCTGCTTCCTGGTATTCATGCCCTTGTGTAGTTCATCCTCCATGTTAAATAGGGTGGATCTTTGTCACCAGTAAGTTACTGTAAAGGGACAGTGTTGGACTTCAGCAGATAGGTCATAAATGATGTTGTATCTTCTACCTTGGTTTCTTAATTCAATTGCCCTGAAAGTAAATATCTGCTATATAATGAGAATATTCAAGCATTTCTTAGGAGAGATCCACATGGAAAGGAACTAAATTATCGACACCATCCTGCCAGCCATGTAAGTGAGTCATCTTGGAAGCAGGTTCACCAACCCCACTCAAGCCTTCAGATGACTTCAGCCTTGGTAGGCACATGAAGTCAACATGAGTAACTTGGAGTCTAGGTTTCCAAACAAAGTTTGTGCCCCACAGAAACTGTGAGAGAGAAATAGTGGGATATTGTTGCTTTATGCAACTCTGTTTTGTTGCAATTCGATACATAGCAATAGAAAAACTGATACAGATATATATACCTGGTGGTGGGATGCTGCTTCTTTTTTTTAAAGGGATTTGTTAATGTGGCTTTTTTCTAATGGAGTGACAAAAATTCATAGAAGACTCAAAGTTTTTGAGAGAATTTTACTGGAAATGTACCAGTAGTTTGGACCAAAGGGCACATAGACAATCAAAGATGATGATGAAGAGACTTTTAAATCCCTAAACTTCCACAGGTAGGATTCAGGTAGAGAAACCTATTCAGCTATAAACAGAGTCTACTGTTTATGGAAAACGAAAACAAGGGTCTAGAAAGCCATAACATTCCAGGCTTTGAGCTCACATCAAAGAACTGCCTACATGTCCCCTGTCATTTTTCAGAAATATTATGAACTCTTAAGTGCCTCCATTCCCCTCCTCTGCCGCCCCCCCGCCCCATTTTGAACAGGAGTGTTTACCGCATTTATCCTATACCTGTTGAAACACTAAGTGCCGGAAGTATTGGAGGCAAATATTTATGTTTGATTAAAAGTTGTTTAGATAAAGAATTATAATCAAAGAGCTATATCCAAGAAGTCTCATCCAGGACTGAATCTGATTAAAATGAATAAATCCTGGACTTCATGCCTTATTCTGTAGTTTGCTGAGACAGGGAGGTTTAGTGTGACTTACATGTGGGAGTGATGTGAATTATTGGAGGGCAAGGCAGACTGTGATAGCTACCTTCCAAGATGGCCCTCAAAAATCCTAACCTAGTCCTGTTAATGTCCTTGTGTAGCACTCTCCAGTGCTGAATTGGACTAATCTGTGTGGCCAAGAAGGTATTGCTAAATGTTGCTAGATGACTGTAATGGCTAGGTTATAATGGACATAGGAGCTCCTGCGCTGGTCTTTTGCTGGCTCAAACTGAGAGAAGGCAGCTGACATGCCATAAGCACACTTGAGCAGCTCTGTGGAAAGGCCTAGGAGAATACAAACCAACTTTCTAGCACCAATTTGCCAAGCATGTGAATAAGCCACCTAGAAAGTAGATCTGTCAGCCCCAGTCAAACCATCAAATTACTGCAGCTCTGGTTGACATGCAATTAATACTCTGTAGGAGAGCTTGAGCCAGAGCTGCCTAGTCAATCTGTTCCTAAATGATGGAATGTATTACACAGCTATATATAACTGATACATATATATTTTAACATTTTCTCCCTGACGTTTTGATTGACATTTTGTCCAAACACAAAATAGTGACATATGTTTTTCTTACTACTAGTTTTGTTGAGTTTTTAAATCTTCACCAAATTTATTGTCTAAAAAGTAGTATATTATTTTATTGTATCTCTCTGCTTAATTGATATATTGAATATTATTTTATTTGTAACCCATCATTTATAATTTTTTATTAATTATAATTTTGTGACTTTGCCGATTTTTTTAGTAATACTAGAGATTTAAGAGATTACTTTTTCCAATTGGTTTATAAGATATATTAAGAGCATTAACACTTTATCTATCCTATAGTATGAAATTATTTCTCAGATTGTATTTTTTATGTTGTTAATGATTTTTTTGACATAACGAGGTCTTAACAATATCAGTCTATTTTTTATATAAAAAAGTTTACAGGTGAAATTAGAAGACATCCTTAATGCAAGGTACAATAACTTTTTACTTTCTATTGGTTTAATCTAGAGATTCCCCCTCTTTATATATGTAGATGATAGAGATAAATGATAGATAGATAGGTATTGTATACAGACACACGTGCACGGACACATATACAATAAACAATTGTGTGGTTGACAATATTGAGCTTTCCAATCCATAATATATATATATATATATATATGTATTTGCATTTTTAGGTGTTTCTTATCCTGTATATGCAGAAAAGGTTTATAATTATTATGATTTTGTGTTTTTTGTTTGTTTGGTTGGTTGGTTTTGTTGTTTGTTTTGTTACAGCCAATTTTCCATGGAGGCTTTGGGTTGCTGGACATTTTTGGAGCAGAAGCATTACAGAATTTTTTTAAAGGTTATCTTTTGAAAGATATTTGTATAGCACCCAGCCTTTTAATATAGAAATAATGCTTCCCTCCAGAGCATAAAACTGATTTGTTTGCTTTCCAAGATGATAAACCTATTGTCTCTTTTTGGAGCACAGATTGAGAAAGCTTGCTGGAAGCTTTCTTTAAAAGATTAGGGTTTCCTAAGCTTTGGCTTCCTCAGCTGTAGCCCACTTTGTATGTATTTTCTGTGTGGTCCTCTTCATATCATGCTTGTAAGATTTGGAGGGTTACTTTTACCCCCTCAAATTCCACAAGGAACTGATGCAAACGTGGAGCACATGCTATATGTTATTCAATAAATAATAAATCCTTTGTTTCTGACTCAGGTGGTACCTATCTTTTTCCAGAATCTGTGGAACTGTGGTAAGTAAAGTAAAATCTCAGATCCTTCAGTTTTGACATAAATCTTTAGTATAATGATATCACTTTCACAGAATGATAATTTTGTGCCTATTTTCTAATGTGTATCTCTTTCATAATTTGCATTATTTATCCACTCAAAACAATGTTGATTGTTGATGACAGTCAGTTTCCTTTTTCTTACCTTGAAATGTACTTTACGAGGTATCTGTTACATGTACTCTTATTTGTTTACTTTCCTTGTAATCTTCCTTAGCTCACCCATCATGTTTATCACCCTATCTTATCTTTCTTTTCATTTCAAATCTTCATAGTGTCACCTGAGTTGGTTCTACCCAAAAGGCTTTCTAGTCATGCTTAATAGAGCTATTTTTCATTTCATTCTATTGAAACTTACTAAATGTTCACTCATGTTTTAAGTAATACTTGATCCTATAATGGATAACTTTTAGTGGTGTGCTTGAATTCTGCTCTTGCAGAATAATCTGTGGTAGTTTACTTCAGACTATTTATATTGAACATTAAGTTGCCCTTGAATAAGTTATTTATAATCATAAGCCTTTGATATCATGTTTGAACTTCCATTGTCCCTGCCATTATCTGTATATCTGAGATGACAATTCTCTTTTTCTGTTACAACTGTGAGTAAAGCTTGAAGTCCATAATTTAAAATTTCTTAGCAGAGTTTTACCTAATATAGATTTATTATACTAAACTTTTAGCTTTTCCTATAACTTCCATTCATTCATTCACTCAAATATAAGTATTGAACATCTGCCTAGTTTAGACATTGTGTTAATTGCTGAAGATAAAATGGTAAATAAAACACATACAGTCTCTGATTTCTTGGGGTATGTGTTTAAGGAAGCAGGGAATATACAATAATCAAATAATCACAGAAATATATAATTGTCATAAGAACTTTAGATAGGCCTGGCGCGGTGGCTCACGCCTGTAATCCTAGCACTCTGGGAGGCCGAGGCGGGTGGATTGCTTGAGGTCAGGAGTTCAAAACCAGCCTGAGCAAGAGTGAGACCTTGTCTCTACTATAAATAGAAAGAAATTAATTGGCCAACTAACATATATAGAAAAAATCAGCTGGGCATGGTCACGCATGCCTATAGTCCCAGCTACTCGGGAGGCTGAGGAAGGAGGATTGCTTGAGCCTAGGAGTTTGAGGTTGCTGTGAGATAGGCTGACGCCACGGCACTCACTCTAGCCTGGGTGACAAAGTGAGACTCTGTCTCAAAAAAAAAAAAAGAACTTTAGATATAAGATGATAGAAAAGGCTGTTGTATTTTGATGGTCAAGGAAGTCTTCTCCAAGAAAGTAACCATTGGCCTCAAAGGTCAAAGAATAATAAATGATCTAAATTTTAAAAAAGGAGGGAGGGAAAATTCCCTGAAAAAGCAATGACTATGGGATGATATTAAGCATAGAGGGAGATATCAAGTTTAGAGAACTGAAAAACTACCTGTGTGTATGGCTGAGGTACACAGACCGAGAGAAAAGAAGCATGAGA